TCCTGAGGACGTAGAGCCACTCCGCCAGCAGAGTTGTCTCTGTATCCGCTGGGTGAGCAAGAGAAAATTACCATATCAATGGCCGCGTTTAAAGGTCAAGCACTAAGTTGGCTCATAGGCAATCGAAGAAATTTATCAGCAGAATCTGGAAGTGAAACTCATAACTTTGATACGTTGAAACCCGCACTTTTGGGAACTTTTCCCTAAGTTAGGTTAAGACACCCCCCTATTAGAATTCGAATTATAGTAGAAATATTTGATGCGCGATGGAGAAGTAATAATATTTATTTTAAGGAAGGTGCAAATTATGAAATGTTGTATGGTAGAAAGCCCAAAGTAGAAATTGAAGAAAAACTTATTTTAAATTATGAAAAGGATTAATAGGTCTTTTAAATTTTGAACGCATAAAATCTACCCGTGTGCCCAAAATTTACAATATGAGGCTCACAAAAATTAATTAAGACAATAACTATTAAATGCATAAACAAAACGAACAAATTCAGAGCATAACTTAGAACCACAGAAGACAGGACATGGAAAACATTAAATGTTCCACATCTTGAGACACTTTTCTTGAACATTCACATAAATTATTTGATCTTAGATTGAAATGAAACAGGTAACTTGCAATATTACCGCAACCAGATAAAAACTGAAGTACTTAAAATTAACAAAGAGGGAAGACTCGGACTGGAGCCTATCATAAATAGAAGGAAAGAACATTTTGGTGCACCAGCGCCCTTTTTTATCTCCAATGGGGGGCACTAGCCATTATAGGCGTTGGCCGGAAGCGGTGGGCATATTATTATTATGCAGGCACCTAATAGGTGGGACAATGTTGCCTTCTATGGAAACAAGTTATCCCACAGACAAGTTACATCTATGCCTTCTCTGGCATTCTAAGCCGGGCCCTTCGGTACGGCAGTCAGAGTCACTATCCACGTTCCCGTCTGAGAGCCATTCGGTCTCCAGCATTTAAAGAAGAAATGTATTATTCACTCTTACAGTAAAGTTTCTTTTAATAAAATGGAATGACCGCCCTGCTAATATTGATATCGATGGGTAAATCTGAAGCATCTTAAGCTAAGAAATCAGCTCTTTCATGTCCATAGAATCTATGATAATCACGCACATAATCAAAGCGGATATTAATTCCCCTATATCTAAGCGAACTAACATCTAACAGTTTCGATTACTAGTTACGAAGACTGCATAAATGGAAATGTCCCCTTCGTGTATATTCCTAATCCAGCTAAGTAAAATTCTGCGATTGTAAAAAGATTATTGAAAATTTTATAAGAGTCCAATATGTGTACCTTTAAGTTACTAATCAGGAACTTTAAGAACTGATAATCGAATAATCGCTTGAGTTCGTGAGACAGAAAACAAAATATGAGAAGGGTTCAATACCATTTATTATTCCAAATAAAGTTTAACAGATTACTCCTTTCTTGGAGTTACAATAAAGCCTCCACTCGGGATTGAACTCAGGAAACTAAGAACTAAAACTTAACTAATCTAACTAAAAAGATATAGCTGGAGCCATCAAGATTCTAACAGAGTTGGCCCCTTAATGCTAACTTAATGTTGAAGTTATCAAGCGACAAAGGAGTTTATCTCTTGATAACTTGATAATTAATCTAATGTTAGGTCTAAGATACGGCTGAGCGTAATAATAGCTGAAGAGAGAGAGTCGCCTAAAAAGGCGAACGCGGGCTAGTCAAAATCACTGGCTGTCTAACGAAGTCAGTAGAACTTCACAGTTAAATACTTCTCCTCATTTGCATTCAAGCGCGATTCTGAAAATACATTCTGGCGGAAGTTGTAAGCTGAAATTGAGGAAGATAGGAAAGTAACTTTTAACTAAAAATTTAACTGTTAGAAAAATTAACATAAACTTTACAAGTTTTTCCATATCATTTGTTTTACAGATGAGAGTAAAATGAACAATAAGGTTGACGAAAGTAAATTAGGTAAGTAAAATGGACAAAAAGGCATTAGTTCGTTTTGAAGACCAGTCTGAGGTTTGCTATTTCAAGCACCGTTCTCGAGATGGATGCACAGTTTTTCAAGCCGAATTTCTCTGCATTTATCTTATCTTCAAGTGGGCCAAAGATAATGGGACAGCATTCTCAAATATCTAATATGGCCTGATTTTTTTTCTTCTCTTCACATTTTGAACTGTATTGCCACCAGCGAAAAAGTGGATTTAATACCGTCAGGATTGCGGTCAGGATTTTGTGGTGTTAAGAAATCCTGGTACGTTAGAATATTTGTTTATGTTTGTAGTGAAATATGAAAGTCGGCGTGTTTCAAAAAGTGTGCGAGGCAAGATTCGACGGAACGTTGAATGCGCATTTTAGAAAAATCTGTGATCGCGAGAGGTGATAGATTTCACGACAGGAAACAGTTGAGGGCCAGCAGAATTTTTCGCAAGCAGGCGAAGTGGCGACTGCCAAGATAAAAGTAAAAAGTCTTTTTATAATAAGAAAGTGGGTGTTGATAAAAATACGAGCAATTTAAACTGTGAAATGGGTCATTGCTCAAAATCAACTAGATTCTGTTGCAGTGAAAAATGTAGAATTGCCATATACGCAAGCTTTGTTATAAGGCATCTGACGACGGATACAGGGGAGTAAAGTAATTTTTTAGCGGAAAAGTACTTTAAAAAACAGTTTTCAGAGATGTAGGTTATTTGAAGTCGCAGGGATGAAGTTTGGAAAGGTGCAGCTAAATTATTGCATAGGGAAGGTGATATCAAATGTGCAGGGAAAGAATAAGAAATGTAAGTTATTATATTTCGTAGTAAGAAAGTTGAAGGCCATTGTCCTTTTAGGGTTAAAATTTTTGAAAGTAGTTAGTGAACGAATCGATTTTCAGAAGGAGTTTATATTTGCAAATGAATGTATAAAGGATAATGAAGCAGCGTCGTCAATCCTGGATTTTAAAGTACTGGTTTTGCCAAAAAAAAGAAAAAAAAAATGGAAAATTTAGTGAGAAATTTTTCTTATGTGATGAGACCCGAGTGGAAACTCATGCGGTGGGAGTTAATCCTCCGTTCACAGCTAAACCTGCACGATAAGCGGGCTTGCACGGTAAAATAAAAAAAAGGAGGTAATAGAAAAGCACGGTGAGAAAACACTTAAAACCAAAATAATAATCCAAACGAATATTCTCTACGCTCCTGTAGATTTGCTGAGACAAGAAATAACTTCTCTCTCAGTGATTTTAAATTACTGCGCTTCGCTGTTAACTACAAGAAATTAAACGATATCACGAAATATCGAGTTTTATCCACTTCGAATGACAGATGTGATAATAAAAAATAAAGTCAACTAGACGTTTTGTTATTTCTAGATATGGGTGAAATCCAAGAACGTACCGAAAGCCGCATTTATTACTAAATTATATAAGTATATATGTTTTCGAGAAAACTATTTGGTTTATGCGGTATTCCCGCTACATTCCAGAAGGACATGAATATAATTTTTTTTAAGGCTCGTAAGAGGCAGATACACATTTATATATTTAGATGACATAATAGTCACTAGTAACACAGTCGATGAGCGACCTGAGAATCTGCCTGAAATATTCATATTTCTAAAGAAAGCGAATTTAAATTTGAGAGCTATGAAGCGCTGATTCGGAGGCACAGAACTTCAGTACCAGGGACCTGAGACACAAAATATCTGAACGAAGACTTGAAACGAAAGGAAATATATTCGCTATTAAAAACTATCCTCCAACATCCTCAACTGCCCGCTAATAACCGCAAAGAAATTAACATGTTTTTGGAGTTGTGCTCATATTATACAGCGTTTATCAAGAATTCCGCAAGGATTTTATCAAGAGTATCAAGCTTTCATAGCAGAACCCTTGCTAAATTACGAAAAAATAGAAGATTTACTTTGTCAGGGAAGACGAATATAGTTTTTGAAAATCTCAAATCGGTGCTGATTTAAGCTTCGGTCTAGAAATTCCCAGACCCAGAGGGAAAGTTGGTAGAGGTAGATACATCTGATTTTGTGTTAGGGGCTGCGCATATACAAGGTGGTTAACCGGTAGCATATTTTAGTAAAACACATAAACAAACACAAAGAAATTACATCACTACAGGCAGTGAAATGCTAAGCATTCTATTAGCTGTTCAGAATTTTAGAGTCTATTGTTGCAAAGAGCCCCTGACTGCATACACAAACTATACGGTACTAACCCGTTTGTATTTTAGAAAGAACTTAGCGCCAGGTCTGATAAGACAAGCTACGACATTACGAGAATGTAATTTGAGAATTAACCGCACGCTAGCGGAGGAAAAGGCTGTAGCAGGTGCTTAATCAACAAATAAGTTAAAGACAAGGGAAAAGAATTAAGATGTGCCATGTTTTCAAATATTTTGGATTCGGAAGAAACAATAATAGGGGAGCAGGCTGGCCCAGAATTCAACGATATTTTTGACTGTTTAAAATATCATCAAAACTTCCAACATCATGACATCACTAGCATTAAAACGATCCAAAATTGAAGAAAAATTTTAAGAGAAAGGCTACAGAGAGTAAACACAAGCACCCGAGAGATATCGTGCTCAGGAAACGAAAATACCGAGGCAGCTTGAAGGAAAATAACAGAGAAAGTCTAACAGACCGAATAACGACCAACGACGTCAGAAAGAAGATAACAATGTTAGGAGAAGTAAGAAACTCTATCAAACTTTTACACTGTAAAAGGAAGAGGCACCGCGGCGGAAATTAAAGAGATCCTGTTGCTGTGAATGTCAGAAGAAGGATGTCAGCGCGAATGGAGGAAGCAAGCAGCCCTAACAGAAATAGCCCTTTTCCTGCAGAAAAGGACTGCACTTTCAGGGAATACCCAAGGACAGAGGAAATTAATGAATATAGTACACCGAGTGGGAAGAAGAAGCAATCTGACAACCAGCCGAAAAGAAGAATCTGAATCAATAAGGTGGGTTACCCGAAAAAGTTTGCTGAAATGAGTTCTTGGAGAAAAGAATGATAGATTATCGAAAAACAAAAGATAAGTGGAGATTTATTTGCATTAAACTGAAATTTTATGTCATTTTTAAAGCGTATAAAGTTCCTACTATTTATTTTATCTTAAGCAAGGGTTTAAAGTTGCAAAGTTGCTGAGAAGCTTTTTTGTTTACAACTTTTTCTTTTCCCTAAAAATTAGCTTTTTGTGTTAAGAACTCTTATGTTGACTTAGTCGAAAGATAGTAAACATTCAGGAAATTTTGGCTAAAATTCAAAATATTAGCAACGTGCAAAATAATAGTGCGCATTTATGCATTGCCCATGCTAAATTTAAAATTGAGTAAATGTAATGCAATAAATTCAAGTACTTTGTAAATTTATTATGTATGAATAACATATATTAAGAATTAATGTTATTGCAAAGGAAAATGTGTTATTACAAAGGAAAATGTGTTATTGCTATGGTGGTAGAGGCTAATGAAGTGTAAGCGAAAAAGTAGTAAATAGTTAAGCTAGCCAGTAAACGCTATGTTAAATTTTAAATTTAGTTTATGAGTAGAAAATTAGTCATAGATGTTGAAATAGACTGTCACTTAAATCTGTTATATATAAGAAACTAACCCTATAAATATTGGGTAAGAGATAGAAGTTGTTTCAATATAACTAACGACGCACAACTGAGCACCAACCCACGAAAATAGGAAAGCGAAATAAATTAAAGGGGTGTGGAAAGTAAATTATAAATGTTAATCGCGTGTTTACATACTTGTGGCATCCAAAGTACCTTGCGCTAAAATATTTTTCTTCCCAGAGTTTGGAAGGGAGTGAAAGCCAAGAGAAAATCTCTCAGGTGGAAAATGTACTGAGAATTCCAGTAACGTCATAATTAGCTTAATTTAAATTTTTGTAAAAATGGTGCCTCAGTATTTAGTTTTAGAATTAAATATTCTTCACTAAGGTCATTAAAGGGATTGTTTTCCACCAATGTCATTTGTTTTAGAACAATTTAACTTCTGGTGAATTCTGGTATTTTTGAATAGTTTGAATTTTGACACTGTCTGCTTTCTATGTTAATGAAACCATTATCCTTTTATCTGAACAACACCATAACTTTTCATTCACTCTCGGTTGGGTGTAAATGAGGTAGGATATTTAAGACAGAATTCTTAAAATTTAGATATAGAGTTTTTGACAGTTGCAGGTACAAGAGAGGCTAGCTTCTCTGTACAATGGTGATTGAGGTATTACTGATACTCGCTAACTGTGAAGTCTCGGACCTAATTTTACTGTAGGGTGCAGTGCAAGGGTCTCTCACCCCTCTTCCCCTATTACCGACTTCTCGAGAAGACTTTCGTGCTCGCTGCACATTTTGAGCGCCCCTTACCGAACAGGCACTACACGTTTACAATCATTCATGCTTCTTTCTTCGGAATTCGAATGCCAGCACATTGGTAAGGCAGTCAGCGTCACCGAATACTGTACGAGCTGAGTGGATACAGAGATTTTGACAGATACATGTAGAGGTAGAAGGTAGGTCAGCATTCTCCCTAGTACCATAGATGACTGAGGTATTGCTGAACTTAGCTAACTGTTAAGATTCCGCCCCAATTTTGAGGAAGGACAACCTCAGGAGCGATCCGAGGGTATCCCATCTCTCTTCCCCTACCAAGAACCTAGAGAGGACTTTCGGCTCGCGTGTATTCCGAGTGCCTCCAATCCTGCAAAGACATTATGCGCCTACAAACATCTATGCCTTCTCCGGGATTTGATCCCAGGCTCACCGGCATGGCAGTCAGTGTCACTAACCACTGTACCGGCTGGGCGGCACCCAAGAGTCTTTCCAATTCAATTTGCTTCTTATTATTCACATTACTTATTGTTAGTTACTGTTTGTGCTCTGTTATAACCATTTGCTTGCATTCGTTCGATGAACATCCTCTGGATGGCACAGTTACTCTATTTGGCAATGCCCTCTACCAATAATTTACAGTTGCTTCACTCTCTTGCGCATATTTTCTCTTGGTAGTTTTGTTTCAATTAAAAACCATTTAAAAGGCAGTGGGTTTGTGATTGGGCATCTCACGTGATTTTCTTCTGTAAGGTCGCAATTAAATATATAATGGTCGAGGTCACTCCTTTTCTCGCATAGGCAAGAATCTGTTCTTGAGATGTTTTTCGAGAAATTATGTCGGAGAGGTGCAGTCAGTACGCCGTCATATAGTAGTTCAGAAACGAGTTTCTATGTGGTTCTTCTGTGTTGATCTTTGGGATTAAGTAATGTTTTCTTCTCCCTTGATTGGCACCGTCCTATTCCTTTTGCCATAAAGCTTGTTCGTTTTTTCTAATTTATATTTTAATGCAGATTTCGGCAAGGAAACTTTGATTGTTTCACTATTTGTGTTTTTGATAGCTTCCTTTGTCAGGGAATCTGTTTGCTCGTTCCCCAGAATTACAAAGTTGGCTCTGGCCCTTTCTAATTGGATAAGGGTGTTGGGATGGAGCTTGTGGTATATTGAGGATATCTTAGATTATTGTGTTTCTACTGCTATTATTTTTTCCGCTTCTAGAGCTGATTGATTGCCCGATTTGATAACAATTTCTTTTCAGAATTTGGCAGCGAGATAGACCGTAGTGCGATACTCTCGCCCAGCTCTGTCACTTAATTATTCGATGTTAGCCATTTTGTTAGCCCAAGTCCATCGCGCACTTCGTAAATTTGAGCAGGCTCTTGTTAGGCTGTTTGAATTTTAGTCTCCATTTTTTAATTTATTTAAATTTTAATTTCATATTTCAATTAACTGATACTTACAGAAGTAAGCTGCGAAGATTTAAATTGTAAGCATAAGTTGTGCATTTATTTAGTTGTTTCAAATAAAACGACTGTTTTCACCTTCTTAATATTAAATGTTATTTACGCTGATGGAGCCATAACTCGTCTGGCTGTCTTATAGAAATAAGAATTTAAGGCAATTACAGACTTCTCTCTGTTCTTGCATCCTCTGAAACAGGCATAGAACACTTTTCCTAAATCTCATAAAATAATAAAAATTTACGATTAAGAATTTCCTTATTTATACATAGAAGTGTACCGTAAATTAAATAAAAATGTAAACTGCTAGAATAATATTGAAGAATTTGTTATTTCCGAGATAGTTGGTTTACATGATTTACTCATTTATTAAACTTTAGAAGCAGAAAGACATTGAATATTTTATATTTTTCAGAAAATTAATCATAAAAACGATTAAAATTAAACATATTATTCAGTCATAACTTGATTATTCAATTGATTACAGCATGGGTGTCAAACTGGCGGCCTGCTGAACGCATACGGCCCCCCCCAAGCAGTTTTATGTCTCCTGAAATTAGAAGTATTGATTTTGCTGAGATTGCCGCTAACTGCGAAATTCCATAAACGTTACTGCTTAGTAAGAAAAAGCTGATGCTTAATAGTAATCATACGATAAAATATCTGAAATAGGAAATTTTCAGTAGCTATAATTAGTTTTTATCTTATAATTATGTATTTTATGTTCTTGTTGCTAACAATGTACATTTTCATTTTGCAGGGTACCGTCCCAGGTTCAGTTAAATCTTCAGAAATGAGTGCTAACACAATTAAAAGTAATATTTTTATATAACCAATACTTTACGATTATCTTTGATAAGATCATTGTTTATTCAATTTACAGTTCCGATTTTTTTCGCTAGTCCCGGTTTTTTCTTAATCCTTACAATGAACGTTTTCTTATGTAAAATATAAATTAATTTTAATGAAATGAAAAATTAATGGATATTAATTCAAATCACTAAACAAATGAGGTATTTTTGTCGTATATTGAACGTTTCTCTTAGGACATGAAGAAATTCTGTCCAGGAAATTAATAAAGGAAAAGCAATTCTAGTAGTCTCTCTCTTGCCTTATGATAGTGATATAGATTTGCACAAATTATTATTCGCGATATTTTTTGAAAAAATGACTTTTTAAAATTGTATTCCTTAAATACTGATTTGCATTCCGCTGTTCAGTTCCATACTTGTTAAAAATATTTAATTTATACAGAAAAGCAACCTTAGTTCAGCGTAGATTTTGAATAACCTCTATCGATTTTGTTGGCGATCAAACACATGTCCCTCTTCTTTAGGAGTAGAAAATGTTTTGAGAAGTTTTTCTACAATGATCAAAATTTTATTTAAAACTCATGTGAATGCCACTTCTTTTGCATATATTCAACTTTCGCACTGGCATTTTTGTCTTCCAATTTAATTTTAAAATGTTTTGAAAATCGCGTCTTTCATTTTGCCGTAGGAATATGTATTCAATATTGTAAAAGTTTAATAATAAATGGAAAATTATTCATATATAATACTTCATATACTTTCTAATCAGGAATTTTAAAAAGTTTAAATTTCAAGATTATTATTACTATTAAAGAATTGAAAATTATTTTGATATATCTTTTTTTTAAAAGATGTGAAGCAAAATATGTTCAAGATGTGAAGCAAAATGTATGGACCAAAATGTTTTTCTAATGTTTAGAAAATCAAAATTTATTAAATTATATATATATATATAGCTCAGGTGGCTACAGAGCTCAGTGTCCTCTGCAGTTTGTTGAAACAGTTCCAGGACTTTAGATCCATATCAAGAAGACCTGGGCAAGTTCAACCACAATTCACAACAATGAATAAGCATCCACTTTCAGCGCGGAGATGTGGTACTATTATACAGTTTAACAGCTCTCACTTGAGCTGTGTGCGGCCACTCGAAGAGTTTCACCGTCTACAGTTGCCCAAATACTTCATATCATAGGGCTGTATGCCAGAATTCCCGCTGTTTGCTTTTCCCTGACTCCAGTACACAAGAAAGCGTGTTTGGCGTGCTGGAGACAACATGAAACTAAGATCAGATATTAAGTGGAGCAAAGTGCATTTTACAGATGAATCGAGATTCAGTCTGACACTTATTCTCCTCTTATCTGTACCTGCAGATTGCCTGGAAGACGATACAATCCCTCCCTTAACAAGGAAATAGATCACTATAATGTTGGAAGTGTAATCGTTTGGGCAGCCATTATGTTGGACGGCCTTACAACCAGCAACTGTTTCACAAGAGCTTCCTGACTGCTATGATGTATAGAGAGAATCTAAATACTTAGAACCGTATACTTGACTTTTCAGGACCGAATTTGGTCCTGAGTTTCTGTTAACGGAAGGCAACGTTTAGCCACATAGGGCTCAGTTACTGATGGATTACCTGAAAGGTGAGGATATATGCCGCATGGATTTCGTGACCTTAATCCTACAGCGTATGTCTGGAAGGCTCTTTCAAGGGCAAACTCACGTCGTCATCTTCTCTGAAAATCATCTCGGAGCTTAACCTTTGCTGCAGGAGTTGTTTGACTGCAACATGGATTACTCAACTCTTTTTTATCCAGTATGCTGTCAAGCTGCGCTATCTGTCTAGCTGTGAGATGGTACCATACTCCATATTATACTAATTATCAGTTCGATATCACAATGTGAATTTTCATTATTCCCGCCTTGAAAATCATGCCCACATAAAATGATTTGTGAATGGTAGATCTTTTTCTCTATTATCAATACATAGTCATACAAAATTTCATTAAAATTTGTCCATTAGTTTTTAACAATTTGACTTAATATGCAAATTTTCTTTATTTTTAATCTTTTATATTTTTATTATATGTACACTGCTCAAAAAAAAAAAAAAAAAAAATGGGACAGTCCTATATCTCCCGATCTACTGGGCCGATTGACAAAATTCAAATTGCGTTCTTCATGTCTCGAAAGCGCGACTTAGGATATATATTAGATTTATATATAGCACTATTCTAACATAGGTATTTGACACCAAAATTGGACTTTTTCTGAAATAACATACCAATGTTTTTACATATTTCGATTCTACGACTCAAATTACGCCTAAATATGAAATTTTGTAAAATTTGGAGCGAAATTTACGGAGAAATTCACAAATTTATGTTGGCACTTTTTTTGTCAGTTTGCGCCAAGAATACTTACTTGGCGAACTTCTTAATATATGGCAACCTAGTTTCCTTCCCGTGAAGAGGAAAAAAAGTCACCATCGTTCCTTTTTCCAAATAATATTCGTTATATTATATTTTTAATTATAACTTATTATTTTAAGTAATTTTTTCTTTTCAAATTTCATTTTAATTGTTTAAGTTGCACTTTTTTTTTTTTTTTTTTTTTTTTTTTTCGAATAACTGTTTTAAAAATTTCTATTTACCTATTCGAACTGCGTAAATAAAGGTGCAGCGTTCATTTTTTGTTTTCAAATACTTTTCTTTATATATATATTTTCGTCATAGTTATTATTTTAGGTCAATTTTAAAATTTTTATTCTTTTATTTTAATTGTTTGTGTTGCATTGTCTCTTCAGATAATTGTTTTAAAATTTTCTATTTATTCCTTCGAACTGAGCATTTTAAATATATTTATTAATATCAATTTTCCAGAATTTGATTTCATTTATTTGAACTGCGTTTCTTTCGGAAGAATACTTTGTAACCCAGACTACGATGCGTTTGAAAACTGCATACTATATTAAAAGAGAAAATACAGTAAAGCACAATTAACACGCCTTTCAATGTTCCGTTCAGAAAAAATATATATAAATAAGAGAGATGTATAACCGATATTTTAACTTTGGATGACTTGCATATACTGCTTTAAACAGTTTTATCATTGTGCCCATTGCTTTACACAATTTTATCCTACATTTGGTTTCTTAAAATGTTATTCATATTTTAGTCAAATATTTTATTTTTGAAATCGCAAGAATCAAATATCATAAGATTGAAAAGTTTTAATAAAAAAAAAAAAAAAAAAAAAAAAAAAAAAAAAAAAAAAAATACGAATACTAAATTTTACGAAAAAATTTATTTTTCTTCTCTTTTTCTTTAAGCATTCTGAAAGTATATTGAAAAGTATCCAACTTTTAAAAACATTTTGGTATTTCTGACAATCATTTTAAATAAAGTTATCGCCTTCCATTTCATAAAGGCCCACAAACGGCCGAGCGGTAAAGTTGCTGAACACTGGTAGTTCACTCCGGGGTTCGAACACCGGTAAACGGACTGGTTGCATGGGCGTTTTCGTGGATTTTCTTATGTGTACCGCGTATGACAGCTGGTTTCCCTTAGAAAGTTCTTCACGAAGTATTTCGTCAGAGCCTTTATCAGTCTGTAGAGGCTAAACATTTTGAAGGTATGAGATGAAAGGAAAGACTGGTTTCATCCAAAGGTTTTGGTTTATTTTATTATGAGAAAGCACACTACGGCTATCTGCCTAAGGGGAGGGATGCCTTCCTAGAGGACTTTCTAAGGGAAACTGGCTCGCATACACGTTACACATGGGGAAAACCCCGAAAACGCCCATGCAGCCAGCCCGTTCGCAGGATTCGAACCTCGGACCGAACTACCGGTGTTCAGCGACTTTACCGCTCGGCCGCTGTTTCATCAGGAAGGGGAAAAAAACATCTTTAGGTGACATCCACATACATCACTGGATAAACTCCTGAATCTTCAAATAATTCGACTGAGAAAATCATGGGATTCACCATTTATGATACGATATGATGTTCTATAACGTAATTTACACAACCATATAGTTTAAAACCAGTCGCTCTTCACTTTAATCTGCAATGATATCGTTTTGTCTTTTTTGTTAACACAAGCTCAATTGATGGTATTTGCTGGTGTACACGTCCAAGTGTTTTCTCTTTGAACACCTAAATTCTTTGAAGTATTCTGAAAGTATATTCGAAAACGTCCAACTTTTTGAACATCTTGGTATGTCTGATAGCCAAATTTCCCTTCATCATTCACTTCCATACATTTTGCATTCTTGTCAATTTTTTAAAATATCAATTATATGAATTGCGTTTCAGCTAAAGACAGCTTTTCATTTTCTAGTCATTTTTTTTAGCTATAAAAATAAAGTTTTTAAAGCGAAGTCCAAAGGATAAATATTTTAATTAAAAGATTTTTTTTTTTTTGCTAAATGACAAAGAAATAAAACAGTCCAGCTGGGTTTATTCTATACCACCGAGTTGACTCGATTCTTATATCGGCTGAAACAATCTAAATCATACTAAAGATCATGTTTTTTTATACAGTCTATAACGCGAGAGAAAAATTAGCTTCTTAAAAACATTCTTTCTAAGAGAATTAATATAAAACGATTATATTTATATATATATATATTTAAAGCTGGGACTTGAACAAACTGTCAAACTTTTAAAGTTTAATTTACATGGTGGTTATAATTAAAGTTTCAATTTGAAATGATCATAAAAGGAAAACTACCGGACCAAATGTTATCAAACTTGTGAATCGTGTAAAGGAGGTTATGGGAATTTATTTTCGGCGGAAAAAAAAGAGTTCAAAAACTCACCATCAGGGAAAAATGGCGCTGTATACAATATTGTTAAATGAAATAAGACACGAAAACATCTTTTTAAATGTGTTTAAGATTTTCCGAAACGTGTTACAAAGCATGTTTAATGTAGCGTCCATCATTTTCCGAAAGCAAGTTAAAACATGTTACTGCATTCTCAACAGCAGCTCTTAGCATAT